AGAAAGTTAACAGATGTTATAATTTGGAGGAATCTGTATGTGTACCTTGGGAGAAAATTTTAATTTGTTTTCTTTGGGACTTCGAAAGAGTTGTTCACCATCCAGGAAATGATGTTTCAATAGTATTCTCCTTATGGAATTTCTGTCACTGATAGTCTTATGTAACTGCATTTGTAGCAGTGGCAGTTTGGGTAATTTATGCAGAGTTTAAGGGTCTGACTACTTTGTTGTGTGTGTGTGTGCGTGTATATGGTACTGTGATTGAAGCTACATCCTTAGGCCTTTAATTTATTTTTTTATTTTGTATTTCTTTAATTTTATTTATTTTTTATTAAATAATTGAATTTATTGGTACATTTTAGGGATACAGTACAGTTACATTCATTGTTGGGATCTTGTACTGCTACATGACAGGTCTTCGTTCTCATTTTTTCCCCTTGTCCCTGCCCTCCCTTCACCCCCTTCTGCCCTCCCCATTTACAAACACTTTATTTCCATCTTTTCATTTTCTCACATTTCTTCTTTTTCCTTATTACCTTTCCCCTACCCATCCCACCTTCCCTACACCTTTAGCCCCTTGCTTCCCGTTTCACAATGCCAGTCATCTCATTAGGACCTTATGTATTATCACAGTTTTTTTCACACCAGAGAAACTATTCAGTATTTACACGTGTGACTTATTTATTTCACTTAAGAGTATATCCTCAATATGTATCCATTTTCCTATGAATGACTCTAATTTCTCATTCTTTATGGCTGGGTGGTATTCCATTTTATAGAAAAAACACATCTTCTTTATCCAGTTTCCAACAGATGGGAAAATGGGCTGTTCCTGAGTTTTAGCTGTTGCAATCTGTGCCGCTATAAGCATGGGTGTGCATATATCACTGTGGTATGTGTCTTTTAATTCTTTTGTTAAGATACCCAGCAGAGAGATGGCTGGTTCAAATGGCACCTCTAGTCCCAGCTCTTTGAGGTATCTCCATATTGATTTCCATAGTGGTTGCACCAGTCTGCACTCCCACCAACAATGGAGAAGGGTTCCTTTCTCCCCACAACCCCGGCAACATTTGTTATTGTGTGATTTCTTGATAGCAGCCATTCTTTGTGGGGTGAGGTGGAAACTCAGTGTTGTTTTCATCTCCATCTCTGGAATGACCAGTGATGTGGAACATTTTATCATATATTTACTTGCTGCTTTTACTTCTTTGACTGAGAAATGTCTGTTCATTTCAGATGCCCATTTTTGAATTGGGTCTTTATATTTGGGGGAGCTGATTGCTTTGAGTTCTTTATATATTCTAGATAATAGTCCTTTGTCTGAGGAGCAGCTGGTAAAGTTTTTCCAACATTGTAGGTTGTCTCTTATTTCTGTTGATTGTTTCTTTTGCAGTACCGAAGCTTTTTAATAAGATGAGATCCCAGTTGTTGATTCTTTCTGCTAGTTCCTGTGCTACTGAGGATTTGTTCATAAAGTCTTTTCCTATGCCAATGTCTTCCAGAATTCTGCCTAACTTACCTTCCAGCAAGTTTAGTGTTTCTGTTTTAATATTTAGATCTTTAATCCACTTGGATTTTAATTTAGTGCATGGTGAGAGATAAGGGTCTAGTTTTAATCTTTGGCAGGTTGAGATCCATTTTTTTCCAACACCATTTATTTAAGAGGCTATCTTTCCTCTCGTGGGGATGGTCAGCTCCTTTGTCAAAGATGAAGTAGTTGAGTACATCTGGATTTGTTTTTGTGTCTTCCAATCTGTTCCACTGATCTTCAGATACAACAATTCCCAATTTGAAACTATACTATTTATTTTTTATTTTAAGACAAATTCTTGCTAAATTGCTAAATTGCCTAGACTGGGCTTAAGTTAGTTATCTTCCTGCCTCAGCCTCTGAGTGTTGGAATTACATCTGTGTATCATCATGCTCAGCCTGTTTTGTTTCTTAATATAGTTGTATTCAATCATTTTCCACTTTAGAATGCATGTTATTTTATTTGAAATTAATTTATTAGCCATTCTCCTCTTCATTATGGCATATAATTATACATGCATAGTTGAAATTGTATGCCAGTTATTATACTAGCTTTGAATTTCAATTGCAAGATAGTAAGGGGGGATTACTAAATATTTATCATAAAAATAAGCATTAGGTCTGATAGGTTTGGGAACCATTGGGTTAGATGATTTTCAAAACTGCTTCTATTGTCATCAGTCTATGTCCCTAAATAATTTGACTCTACTACTCTCAAATCAAGAGGGATCTAAATTGACTGGTTCTATTCCAATGAGAAGAGATAACTTCATGGAAAAGACAAAAAAAATGTAGAGCAATTGACCTGGAAAAGGGTGTGGGTAGAGGGCACTAGAAGTGAGTTTAACATCTCCTTTATTACATTTCAAGCCTTTAAAAATCCCTGTGGTGAGCCTGCTACTTGTTACTAATTAGAGTTTAAGAGAAACTAACATAGGCTTATTGAATATAGACTTAATGAAACAAATAGTTATTTCTGTAAGGTTTCACATTTCTTGAGCATTTATCATCTTATCACATATTTATACCAAGCCCACAAGCTCCTAGATATACTACTTTTTTATTGTGTTAAAATCATGATTGGTGGTATTGCCTACCTTCTCATGTGCTTATGGGCCATTTGTATTAGCTGTACTATTCCTAATCTGGTAAACTATTGCTATAGGTCTTAATACAATTATTAGAATGATTCTCTGAAATTTAAAATGACATTTAATATAAAATGTTTTATAAATCATTTGAATTATAAAACATTTCACATTATTATATTATGGTTGGGCAAGGTAGCAGTACTATCTCATGTTTTGTGTCTCTGTTTTGGTACCATTTTCTGGTAGAGGCCTCCCCTTCCCTCACTATCTTATCTAAATTAGGTCTGTGACACAATTAAAAAAACTTTTTATTTTGAGCTAGTTCTAGGCTGACATGTATTTTGGTGAATGTTCTCTTATTTTGGACTCCATCATTTTATTTTCTATAATGAGGAAATTGTTAATTTATCCTTACACGAAATTTCTAGATTGCTAAATGACTGCCTGACTAAACATATAGTAGTTTATACTTATCTACTGCTTTCCCATCTTTGTGCAATTATTTTCTGTAATTATTTTTGTACTTATTTTCTTCACTTTTTAATTATTCTTTGGAATGTTATTCACTCATTCAATGAGCTCCAATGTTCTAGGTGGTGAAAATAACAGAAGCACATGATAAAGAAAGGCTTCTGCTCCCATGCAGTTTCCATTAAAGCAAGCTGCTTTCTTTAAAACCTAAACCCAAACCCCTTTTCTGTAAAGAGCATACGTAAGTATAATATATACTTGTCTTGAAAATATCAGAATTAATGTATCTTAAATGCCTCTAAAATAGACCATTGAAAAGAATGTGCCTGTGAACAACTTAAAGACAGAAGAAACAGGAAATACTATGAAGTATAAAACTGAATGTAAATATCAGCTATTTTTAATTAAGGCTTCCTGGTCAGCTTCCACTGTTTTTCTGGATGATGGCACCGAGGGCCATGTTCCCCACGTGTGCCTGTAAGATGCTTCCATGAGTGTCATGGGGTTCATAACTTTTGCTTAGAGCCCTGGAGATGCTTCCTATGAGTCAGATATTAGGTCATGTATTGATTTTGTTCTCTGCCTTTTTAAATTTCAAATATAGGCTTACCTCACATACTATTTATAAGAATTCATGGAACAAAAATTCATAAAGTTGGCCATAGAGGAATAAAAATGATTAATACTATAAAAAAACTTAGTGGATGAAATGTAAGTCTCCAAGGAAGTAAATCTAATTAGAAAGTCAGGTATAGTGCTTATCATTTGTGGAAATAGGTAGGATCTTTTGAAATTATTCATCATGGCATGCAGTTGAGTCTATGCTATTCTATACTCGAAGCTGATGCTGAGTACCTTCATAACTCATTCTCTTCAAACACATATTTGAATAGAGCTTTGCAATAACAAAGATTCATGTATTATTTCTTTTTTAAAAAACTTCAGTTAATTTCTAGCTAATGATATTTTACTAAGTAAACATCTGTTGAAAGATGGCTTTTCCGTATTTGAAAAAACTCTTTTTTGCTATCTCCCTAACCCTATAGTGTATATAGGGACTTGTGTATGTACAGGAAGGGGAAGAGAAAAGGATGGCCCATGTCCCCTTCAAAACTCCAAAGGAGGATAAAAGAACACGGTTGAAATTTAATAGTTCTGTCATAAATACAAGAGATCGAAAAGTAAATCATGAGGCCATTTTGGTTGTGTTATGCTTATGTCTCCTTGTTTTATGTAATTGTGATGTTTAAGCCAGTTTTATAGTTTGAGAGAAAGCATTTTCTGTGTTTATTAAACATATTTGTATTCCACGACACTTGTATTCAAATTGTTTGGTTGTTTAGAAGGATATATTGATATATATGTTATGAGCAAGTTGATGTCCATTTCCACATTTTGTAATCATCTATGGCTTTTTTAATAATCAATTTCTTAAGCATTCTTTCATTACTGTGAGCAATCAAATTACAGACTGCACAGAAAAAACAAATAATCATCAGCTTTTATTATACCACAAAGTAGTATTTTTTTCTTTGGTAAAAAAGTCCATCCATTGCTAGTTCGCATTGATTCAATAAACCAATTAGAAAGACAGTAATAAGCAAGTAGCAAAATAGTTAAGACAATGCCAGATGATTATATTTGGCTCTCAAATTCTAAGGCATTAATGGCTCACAAAGTGGGGAGTTTCTGGAAAGCAAACGAGGTCTGTGCCATTTGAAAGTCTAAGTCTGTAAATTAGTATTTAGAGCATGCCAAGGGCTGGGGAAAGGCAGTGTTTAGATAAAGCTATTATTTCCATCCTCAGCTCTTGACCTTGAATTGCTTAATATTTTATTTAAACAAAGCTTTCTGCATGGAAAGGGGTTTAAAATCACTTCTCTATATGTGCTTCTATTTTATCAACAGGGCTTCTGAACAGAAGATATGTAAGAACCACCAACTAGAACTGAAACTATGAAGTTAATATAGAAGGTAAGGAATTCAAAGATAAGCATAAAGGTTTACACTTCTCTTTGAGTAGTGGTCATGAATATTTCTGCAAGTAAAATGTGTCCTTTTGCTTGTTATCTGTTGATCTCAGAAACTATGGCTTTTTCGGTGGTTGTTCTCGTGGGCTGTCAGTCTTCAGTGCAACCTAATGATGAAATACAATGATGCTCAGAGAAGCAAGGCAGGGCTGACTTTTTATCCTCAGCAAGGACAGCATGGTGCTTATTGTGAAGGAGGGAGGGTTAGGAAACATGGATTGCATAATAAATGACCATATACTCTTGGCTTGTGGCTATCTAGGTCTATGGTAACACATGGAGTTGGATGTGCTAATTTTGTTTCCTTTTGGCTCTACAGTTCTTTGGTTTCTGCTGCTCGCCACTCCATTGATTTTCTCCCTCCCTCCCTTCCTTTTTTCCTTTCTTAGTATATGTTTACAATATAACATAATTATATTCATTTTGGGGAATCGTCACATATTGTTACCAGTGATGGTTTTGCATAATATTGTGTAATATGTGTTCATCATATTCAAACTGCTAAGCCTAATATTTACCTGCCTTTTAAGAATTTCACTTGTCTGTAAGTGATAAGTTGATATGTTTGGGTTTTGAGGAAGACTTTGAAAAGACTGTTTTGGGAGTCTTCTAATCTCTGGATTCCCTTTAGGTTACCTAACTTAGAGGGAAGTCCAAAGACCAATACTTAGCAATGGAAAAAGAGAATTTAAAAGAAATGCATTCCCAGTGCCATCTCAGTGGCACTATAGTTTTCTTGACCATTTAGATCAAAACTACTAGGTGTATCTCTCAACTTTAGGATCCCTCTTGCCCATAGCTCTCCCTTTTGGCTTGCCTTTGCTTTAACACAGGCCACCTTCAGGCCTCGGGATTCAACAGCAACCTGCCCGTAGTATTTCTCAGGCATTGTATTCTCTCTTGTGGTTCCCTAGCCCCTGCCCATATATCCACAGGGTTCCTTTATTAATCTGTCCTCAAATTGATCTATTTGATTGTGTCATCTGTCCTGATACTGTTATGGAACAAAGTGAGATTTGAAAAAGGATTACTGTCCTTTCCAGGATTGCTTTCCAGTCATTGGGATAAAAAACCCAACACTGGAAACTTAAAGGAGAAGAGGTTTCAGTCGGACTAACAGTTTCAGTCCTTGCTCAATTGGCCCCAAGGCAGAAATAAGATGTGAGAAGGGTACAACAGAGGAAAAGGTGCTTGCTAAACCCTTGGCAATGCGGGGG